TTTTGTTTAAAGAATAATTTCTTATAGAATAGAGTTTAATTTTTTATATGAGAGAATTATTGGCAATTAAAACCTTTAAATATTTTTTATTTTTCATAAATTGTAATATTTATAAATGTTAATCATATATGTTATAAATTTTTTTATATGTTATCTGATATTAAAACCACATATGCATAAAAATTGACTATTTAAAGTTGAGTACTCTAGAAGAAAACTCCAGGCTCGCCAGAACCATGGACTTATAAGATCCCCAGTCTCCACTAACAGATACATTCATACAAATGTATTTAGATAAAATGCCTAATTTAGAATTCTATTATCAATTTTGAAGTGTGCTAAGAAAAATTATTGAGTTGATATCTCATTCATATATAAAATATATAATTAAATGTTTAAAATTAATTGTTAAATTTCAGTAAAAATGTTTCATCATGAAAGCTTCCCCGTTTATCAGTAAAGACAGTTTTAGAAAGGCTAAAAAGTCTTTCTACCGGGAGGGACACTTGACGGTAGTATGGTGTTATACTTTATGAATAATTTCATATTGGGATAATTTTTAAATATATTAAAATCTCGACACTCATTTTGTCAAAAAATCATCCAAAAATTGAATGAGTGTCAATTTTGTTAATTAGTCATAATCATATCCTCCATGGCGTGATGGGAAAAAATCGAATCGAAGTCTAATCTAGTTTGAGATAAGGATCACAATTTTAAAATGATTCACTAACAATGGACAAAAAGACGAGGACAAAAGAACCCCGGACAGAAAGACACTAGACAAAAATACCCACTAACAAAAAAGACTTTAAAAATACCTAAATTTTGGGAAAAATTTAAATGCTTTTAAAAATCAAAAAATTATACTTTTTAAATATTTAAAATTTTTTCGAAAATTGGGGCATTTTTGTCCTTTGTTTTTTTGTCCGTGAGTATTTTTATCCAGGTTTTTTCCCGGGTACTTTTATCTGGGTCTTTTTATCCCGGCATTTATGTTAGTGATTCTTTTAAAATAGGCTTGGCCAAGGAAATTTAATATTTAAACCGGCTGATGTTGGGTTAATTATTTCTTCTGTTTCTTCTTCATCACATATTAAAAAAACTTTCCTTAATTAATATAAATAAAAATATTAGGTATAATTTACTATGGTGTCATCATCCATTGTGTAGAATGGAATTTGTGTAGTTAGATTTTATAATAAAATAAACTCGAACATGATATATTTAATGAATTGAATTCAAATTAAAAAATTTTAAAAAAAATTATAAGAGAGATACCTAGAGAGAAAAAATATCTAGATATAGATACTATTTATAAAACTGTATCTAGATACAGATACTACATTTTTATATTTTAATACTTTAACTACTTGGATTATATTCATAAATTCTTTTCTATATAAATCTTATACAATATACCACTAAAATTTTCACGAGTGACCATCCCGTTCCTGAGGCTATCCCGCCACACCCCATTTTAAATCTTCTTTTAAAATTTTTTGTTATAATGCTCTATTATATATTTTTATATGGTACAAAAAAAATGACATTCATTTTTAATTATCATCGAATTTTTAATGAATAATAAAAAATTATTATTCAAAAAAAATAAAGGATTGCAAAAAACCTTATTTCATTTAAAAGGGAATGGAAACTTTTAAAAAAATATATAATATAATATAAATTTTTTTTAATATTTAATTTAGAAAAAATATTATCGATTTTTTGGTTACGTTTGCTATTTATTTATAAAATAAAAAAAAACAAGTATATATTTATTGGTATTAGCTATAAAAAAAAGAAAAGAAAACATTTTTTTTCGCACTTTCTAGAATTGTTTCTTGCATTTCATTTTGGAAACGGATTGTTGGTGCTTCCTTGTGCAAGAAAAATCTGGTATTGATTAAAAACAGTAGGATCACCGAGGAATGATCAAAAAAAATGAGCTTATCATCAGCACATCTTAAACATAACTAGAGGCAACACCTTTAGCATAAGACGTACCCGGATTTTGCTGGGGGAACGGGGGGGGGCTGGAGCACTATTAGATGAGATCCCCCCTTCAATTAAAGGTCTTTAGGTCTATTTATTATAGACTTTTGATTATATTAGAATTGTTATAAAAATAATTTAGGGTTTTCACTTTTTATTTTAATAAAATGTTTTTTTCTAAAATATTTGAATTATATTCGTTATTTAAAAAATATTTACAATTTTTCTCTCAGAATCTTGTTTATGGTGATATAATGTATATATTTTTGGGACTTAGGGAAGTGGAAGATTTGTGGGTGGGGGATTTCCCCTTGCCCCCCCCCACCCAAGCTACCTCTACGAACTTTACAATTTATGAGAAATCGTTTTTTTTTTCGTTTTAAAACAGCTTTCACTTTTTATCACTATCTAAATGATAAATAAAATTTTTTTAATCATAATTTCTAGTGACGTCTAATTCGTTTTTTTTTAAAATATACATTTCTCCTATTTTTTTTATATGATAATACTAAGCGTCAAGTCCTATATACTAGAAAATAAGAAAGTTATGAGAAATAATTATAAAAAGGACCCACCACGTTTTTGTGGAAGGCTTTAGATACCTGAAGAATCAGTCACTTATTTAAACGCCAATGGAAAATAAGAAGATACAGAAAATGCCCATGTTCGATTAAATAAAAGTTTTGATAGTGAGGACGGAGGTGAGGTTAATTTTACTTTTATTTCGCATGGTGATGCTGAAAGGAGTGCAATTGGCATGTTAACTTTAAACCTATTTGTTAAAACTGTATTAACTCATAGAAATTTTTGTTTTTCTGGATTTTTTTGTCTTTAAATGTACTACAATTGTTCATTTATTGTTGACTACAAATATCCGAGCTATATAAAAAGTTCATAAAATTCTTAATATAATGACAAAATCGATAGTTAATATATTATGAATTTTTTTTTATCATTGCAAAGAAAAATGAATACCGAAATATTTATAAAAAGTTAAATTGTTTCTAACTGAATATTAATTATCAAATAATAATTAAATAATTATGAATCAAAATTTAGTGTTGCTCATAATAATCCCAAGATGAATCGAATTTTCTAAATTCAGGGTGGGTACAATTTATATCTAAATTAGGTATTATATAAATCACGTTATTGTTACACTTTGTCTCTAACCCAATTATTATATTGATCACTGATTACAGAACACTTATTTAGATATCTAAAAAATTCGCCAATAAGTTTACTAATTTCTGATTTGAGCGTTTTGTTTTTTTTCGTTTTATTTGAAAATGTATTTAAAACGGTTGTATGCAAATTGATAAACTTTTTTTTTCGTTTAGAAACGCAAATTTAAACAACGCAAGCGTTTTATTTTTAAAAAACACACAACGCTAAACGGTTTCGTAAGTAGTTATTATTTATTAGCTAAAATGTTTTTGGCAAACAAAAAAAAATTGTTCAAAAATAGGTAACAAAGTGATAATATTACGTGGCAAAAAAATCTTATTTGGATCATCCACCTATATGTAAAATTTTATATTATACAGAAAAGTTTTTGGGTCCCCCTACCTAACTTTACTGACTACGCTCAAATTAATCAAGTTTATCAATCGTACAAATAAGATTTTTATGTAATAAATTGTAAAATTCAAAATACTAAATAAAAAAAACGTGGTTTTGAAGATTTATATATAATATGTATTATTTATAAAATGTAATAATTTTTTAATGATTTTATTATTTTTAGGGAGAAAGAAAGGAGGAAAATGAACATGATAAAGGGTTATCAATCAAATATTTTACAGACTATGATAGAAAAAAAAAATAGAAAAATAAATTATTACAAAATAATAAATAAAATTATTTCAAAATAATAAATAAGTAGAAAAGGAAAATAAATAATTATTATTATTTTTAATAAATAAATAAATATAAAAATGAAATGTCAAACAAAGCTTGTCTCTCTCAAATTGAGTCAAAAATAATTATTTTGTCGCTTGTCTCGCGAAACGTGAGTTCCATTTTGAGACTTATTCTAAAATTGTAACTAAATATAGTTACTTTTTTTTGGTGAAAAAAACTTTTAGGTATTATATATACTTTCTTTTTCTTTTTTTTTATCGGATGTAATAAATTATAAAAAAATTAATGAAATATGATATTACAATTTATTCATCATTTTCTTTTCATTAAACAACTGTCCAATTTGATTTTGAGTGAGGGACTTTTTAAAAATATTATTTATTAGATGTTTGTTTTAATTTTTAAAAAAATTACAAATTTTTAATTTTTTTCCCCCAGCCGGTTTCTCATCTTTGTTGCTCAAATTAGAAAAGTATATTTATTTATTTCTCGTTAAAAATATAATAATAATATAAATAATAAAAATAATATTTTTTATATTTATATTTAAATTTCATTTTCTTGTTTATTTTTTTTTAAATATATTTGAAAATTTTTTTTTGTGAATTTAAAAAATTTTTTTATAAAAAAAATTGACTCCTAAAAAATTATTTTGAAATTGAATAAATAAAATTTTGAAATTTATTTAAAATTATTATTTTTTTTGACCATCTTCAATTATGTAATTTAATTATATAAAAATTATTGACGATTTAAAATGAAAGATTTTATATTCCAGACCATTATTAGAATAGAAGATTTTATAATTATACAAATATTCGATGTTGGCGCAATTGGAGAATAATAGTAATTCCAGAGATTTCTTATTTATTTTGGGATTTATTTTTCTAATTTTATTCTTTGTCCTCGCTGTATCGTAAGTAACCGCTAAACCATTCCTAAAGAACCCATCGCAACAATTCTAATACAAATAATCCAAAAAAAAAATACAATTCTGCCCTCAGGGCTTTTTAAATAAAATAACACGAAAAAAAGAATAAATTTTATTTTAAAAAATCTAAATTTTGATTCAATTTTTTTTCAATAAAAATAAAATCCACATATGTTTTGTTTTTTAAAATAAAAAAAAAATTCTATAAAATAATTAAAATCTTTTTTAACAATAATGGATTGGGGAAAAGTATAAGATTCATACCTAAATATTTTTTCCCCCAAATAATTAAGAAAATCAAATAAATTTTAATATAATATTGAAGGATGTCTAATCTTTTTCTAGAAAAAACGTACCGGAAAAAAATATTTCTAATGAATGTCCATTATCTTTACAATCCTATAAAGGTATTAAACAATTTATTAATAATTTTGTTTTGTTTAAATTAGTTTTGTTAAACGGTTCGATTTTCAAAAACAGCTAACCGAATATTTATGCAAACTTAAACGTTAAAATCACGAGGGTTTGAATATTATTTTGCTTAAAATCTTAATTTGACTAAATTGACCCGTTTATCAATACTAGTATAAATTTTACAAATGATCCATCTTAAATTTTATAATTAATTCATTTGAACAAAGCTTTAAAAAAAACAGAAATGGGAAGAATAAAAATAGGAATTTTACAGATATTAATGCTAGAGATTTGGCGGAAACTTACTATGAAATATATTTTGCGCAATACTTCAGGTTCGACCTGGCGCAAGAATTTTTTTTATCGGGTCCGCGGGCCGATATATGCGGAAAGCCAGCGAAAATTATATTTATATTAAGGTCCAAGTGTCCCGCCCAAAAACTTTTAATTGAAAAATATACACGAAAACTAGAGTTATTAATTGCTTTGTCCTAATTTAAATGGCCTTTTTAAAAAAATTTAGATCCATGGCCGCTTCCCCGTTTGTGTGGGCTTGCAAAATACAATCTTTAAATAAAATATGTTTGGACGCGTTTTAAATGCAGTTTTAATTATAATGATTGTCCAAATTTGATACAATAAATTAGGTCACTTTATCAAAGTTATTACCCCTCCCCATTTAGAAATATTACCTTTTTAGATATTTCAAATATTTGTATTTATATTCTTCTTTTTTTTAAAAAAAAACCACCAAGTCGGGGGTTTTATATTTTATTTATTCCCAAATAATATGAAACTTAAAACTAAAAAATATAAAATAAAATAGTATTTACTACATTACTTTACATAATTATTTTTTATTCTTATAATTAACCTCGTCATAAATATAATTTATATAAAATATGAATCTAACAAAACAAATTGTACCCCCTTCCCCGAAAATCAAGACATTTTTATGAAGCCACCCTTCTTTCTATTGGAAGTTAATTCGTTTTAATCAGAGTTTGAAACTCTTAAAAATTAGGGAAGGGGAAATTTTTTCCCATTCTGGAAGAATCCATCCCCAATACCACAGAGTTGTTAGTAAAATGACACTTTTCTTAATGAGTAAGGTGAGCAAAGCCCATTCCACCAACTGGGGACCGAAATCTAATTTTTTTTCATATGGAAGTTAATACTTTTCACAAATTTTGCTATTAATTATGCCGTTTTTACTTATGATATCACATGAAATATTTTCTTATAAAATGCCTAATTCTTGTATTATATCACGTGCTTCATTAAACTTATATATTGAATAAATAACAAGTATTGTGTTAACCCTTTTCAAGCATATAAATTAATTTATATTTTTTCAGGTTTTTAGGTATTTGACCTTATTTGACCAGATCAAATACCCCTTCGGTTAATTAACCGATTTTCCAACCCTTCAAACTTATTCGAAATTATTCGTAAAGAATTCAACATATTCCTTGGGGAACCTTTTATTATTATTTTTTAACTTTATTTCCTCATCTACAAATAACTTTTTTAAATTTTATTAATTCATTTTTTAAAATAATAGTCGGTGAATTTAAGAATTTTTTAATTTTTTATTCCTTCAAAGGGAATTATTTATTATAAATTACCAACTTTTTTTCCGCATAATGTCCTGGTTTGGTCAATAATTTATTTATCTCCACTAATTATTTTTAAAATCAAATTTATTTTTGAAATTATTTATTTTAGAACCTCTGCAGGAAAAATTGTTCCAAAAAAAAATAGATTTATTCGATTCGCAACTAATCTACGTCAGCAAATCGGAAAAAGACTGACGATGACGTAAACGATTCATATTATAAAATAAAACACAATTGATTAAACAAAACGCAGCAAAAATAACAAATAATTATATTTATTACGTAAATCGGTTATTAAATTTAAAAACATAAAATATTATTAATTGCGAAGGCGGAAAATTATTTTTTTTTCGGAATTAGGAAAAATTCAATAAAGAAGAGGAAGAGAAAAAAATCTACTTATTTTCTTACAAAATTATGAGTAATTCTAGCGATAAAATTTACGCGGCCGAAAGAATAATAAAATCACGACTTCACAAGGTAAACAATTAATTCATTTTTAATATACTATAATGTTAATAATGTTGTTATTATGTTTTTAAAAAAAATTTAGTTACTTTTGTCGTTACTCTTTTTAAAATATATATTATGTCCACAATCAAATGGCTTATTGCCTCATTAAAATCGCGTAATATTTTACAAAATTATTAAAAAAAATTTAAAAAATGTGCTATATAAATTATTTAAAGGTAGTAAGCACAATTACTTGTTTAAAAATGTTTTTTTTTATTACATTTTAATAAATCTGATTTTTGCCTATAAATTTTCAGATAATTTTTAATAAAGACCTTAGTCGCACAAATTGAGCTTTACATTTTGCTGTTACTTTTTTAATTTAAAAAAATGTAACACATTCTTTGTTTAAATTGTATTTACCTTTTTTAGTTTGGAATTAGTATTGTCGATTCAAATAACTTTTAAATTACAAAGAAAAAAAGAAGGAATTGATTTTTTATAATTATCTTCTGCTATTTTATTTCATTTCAGAAATATTATTTTGTTACATTTTAAATAGTATTAGATGATTTTTAATGCCCCTCCATCTTATTATTCTTATATGTGTTACCTAATTCTTGAATAAAGTATCGTAGACAATCGTTAACTTATATGAAATATAAATATTATATATATTTGGGTATAATTATTAAACTTTTTTGAAAATATAATAGGTATAGTTATATAATTACTTTTCAAAAGTAACTTTAAAACAAGACTAATAATTAGTCAGATATATTTAAGGATATTGGAATCGTAATTCTTGAAACCAGAACCTAAAATGTGTATATATATTAAACATTAAGGCCTGAAGCCTGACCCGGGTATGATGCCATTTATTTATTTATCTTATTTTTTAAGACTATTGGTTCAAACAATGACATATATAATACCTAGACTGACGATTCATTCATTAAAATGCATTTTTAAGCGTCGTTAAAAGCAAATCAGCTGGATCCGCCATTTTGGTAACCCTTATGATAATTATTCTCATGTTAAAAACTACAATTAGATCGGAAACTTGCTTCTTTAATTATCTCGATGATCAGGAAATTCTTTAATAAATTTTGCATCAGATATAGGAATAAATTAGGCTATCGTTTAAAATTTTAATAATGATTAGTGTAACCAAGATGGCGTCCCCTACACTTTTAATGAATGAATCGTCAGTCTAGGTTTATTATATGGGTTCAACCCGTGCTGCGCTAGAAAATGAGTAAATCCAAACCAGTCATTAAAAAGTGAGACTTTCAAACCACAGAGACTAAAATAGAGCAATGTCATTAGTTCTCATTATTTAGAAAGAGTTTGGAAAACTCGAACTAAAAAATAAGCCGTTCTGATTCCATTTCCTATAAAAAATTATTTAAATTGAGATTTCCTGTTTCCTTCCGGAAATTTTAATTCTTTTGTTTCTGATTTTTGTTTGGTTCCGGTTTTTAAGCATACCTGTTACCTAGGGTTCTTGTTTCGATTCGAATTTTTAAAAAACTAATAAAAAGTCATGCTTCAATCCTTAAATATTTTAGACTCGCTGAGATGAGCGCTCTTTTTTCCTACTATCTCGTTCCTTGCCCATTAAATTATGTTTCCCTCCTAAAGTTAATTTTAAAACACATTTGTATTTTTTTAAAGAAAAATATTCTAATTTCGATTATCTACAACGGATAGAAAAATCCAAAATATATGATTTCCGGCAAAATGGGTTCGGTTTTTTAGAAGAATGTATAACCTGTTTTAGTTTCTAAACCTTCTTTTTAACGCCTATAAAAAATAATATTTTAAACCTTGTACAACTATGCTAAAGGTATCATTTCTCTAAACTTAAACTGGAATATTTTAAATTTTGTAATGTATCCTCTTTTTTTCTTAAAATTTGCAAATATAAAACCGTATTTCCACTTTAAACCTTAACCGTTTATAATATTGCACTTGAACTGGGAGCTAAATCTAATCCCTTCCCCTCTCCCCTTTCAAAATATAAAAAACGTTTTTTATATAACAAAACATAACTTAATATATATTATTTTATTTTTAGGGCAAGATCTTTTATTTTGTCAAATGGAGGGATTGGAGCGACAAGTAATTTGTACATTAAACATACATATTATGTATCAGACCTTTATTCAAAAACGAATAATCTTAACCGAATGATGGATTATTCGTATTCTATTCTTTTAAACTATTCGTATTTATAACAATTGAATATGAATAATTCGTTATTCGATTTAATTCGTTCGAATAGGCCTAACATTACTATAGTCCTTTATTAGTCACATAATATACCATTTTCAGCGATATAACATAATTGGTATAATGCTCATTTTCTTAAAAATTCATAATCTCTGTTACTTATAAATGGACACTATTTTTTTTAAAAAAATAAAAAATTCATTTTAGAGGACTAATACTTTCATATTTTTATACAATTATTTTCTTGCAGGTATAATACATGGGAACCGCAAGAAAATATTTTAGATCGGCGATTGTTGGATTCCTTTAAATTACGGTTTATAAAGAAAAATTTTGACATAAAATTTTTATATTTTCTTCCAATTGGGATTGCTAACACTAGCTTTTCCATTCTTTATTCAGAGACTTAACGGCCCTCGTTTGCTGATTCAGCCCGAGTATTAAAATTAATTATTTTACAAACTGGAATGATGTCGAAAAACCGAATATAAAAATCTGGTAGGACTGTAACCACATATAGAGAGGGGTGATTTGGAATTTTGCCTAAATATGTGACCAGACAATCAATTTTAATTTAAAGCATTTATGTTGCCCGGAAAATGTAAATCCGGGCTTATCCTGTTAAGTCTCGAATCACAGAAAAATAAAATATCATTATTTTATGTTATACATATAATTATTTAAGAGAGAGGAAATTGCTCATGAAAAAGAACAAAAAAGGACCCAAGAATAAAATCTTGACCGAGGACGAGGAGTATAATGATACCGGCGGATTGCGTAACAAAAACCTAAACCTAGATAAGGTATATAAATTGGCAAATTATTTTTTTCTTATAAGAACAAAAGCAGATATTATTACCTTGAAGATATAACCGGGGCCAACTGCAAGCCGGCCTAAACCCGGGTTCGAACCCATAAAATAAAATGCGAGCTTGATCTGATTCGGACTAAAAAAATAACGATTATAATATTTACTTCCCGTTATCAATTTTACCTATATAAAGTGTTATAAAGTCATGTCTTTAATGTATATTGACGAAAAAGAACGTATTTATAAATGAGATGATTAGACATGTTGTTTTTTGTATCGTAATATTCAATTTAATATTGAGTCTTAGGGTCGAATACCGTTCGCTCAAAAATAGCCCCCTCCCCACCTCTTTTCAGGTGAATATTTTAATGATAGTTGTTTTAGAGCAGTGGCGTTGCTATCTTCCTTAACTTGAGGGCCCTCATGGGATCTCTCCAAGGTTTTCAAAGAACCTTTTGTCGCACTCCCTCCTCAACGACGTCACTGTTTTCTAAATATGTATCTTTTTAATAAAAAATTTATATTTCCGCCCAAATCCAGCCTTTATCCGTATCTAATATACACTTATCCAACTAGCCCAGAATAAATAAGAAATATACACTTATCCTACTAGCCCGGAATAAATAAGAATAGCTCCAAACTACAATTCTTTCTCTATATGGAAAAAATAATTAATAAGATAAATTAGATGCCGGTTCTGGTCCGTATATCTGGCTCTCAATGAATGTGTCGGAAGTAGCCTGATTTTTAAAACCGGACTAAATACCCGGCTCGACCGGACCGAATTTTTTAAAATTTAACTATTTGGTGAATTTTATATAAATGAATCATTTCAACATTCATTTTTTTCACATATTTACAACTTACCCTTCTTAAAACATTTTTTTCCACAAAAAAATATGAAATTTTAAAAATTTGGGTAGAACTCAAAAGTATCGGTCGATGCTCTCAGCATCGAAACTATTTATGGTAGATCCGGCTCTAGAATAATTTTAAACTTTTTTTGGTTCTATTGCATTTATCTAAAAAAAATTATTTTCGGCTTATGTATAATATTTTTATACAAGTTCTGACCAGAAAATATATTTTTTGCGAAGATCATAGATTTGGGTTATTCAAACAAGGTTTTTTAAAAAAATTATTAAAATGTTGACTCGGCCCTTTGGAAATATTTTGCGCAAGATGTTACCCGAAAATCGGTTCGCCCTGGCCACGACCGAGCATTCGCACGTTTACTCTGTTACATTTGAAAAGGATTCAATATTTTAATTTCCTTTGATTATATATAGTAAAACATAATAAATATAAATAAACAATGACCATTGTTGATTAATTTTAGCTAGAATTTTTCTTTCCTCCATATTTTTTTTTAATTTAATAAACAAAATTATTATATTTTACTTATAAATAATGGTTGTATAAAAAAAATAATATATAAAAATATTTGTTGATTTTTTTTTCTATCGAGGAACGAAAAAACATTACTTGCTAGGGCTCTCTACGAATCTAACCGATTTGACCCAACTCACATTACCCGGATTCAAATTTTTATCTGGCCGGGCCCGAATTCCGGTTTTGGCAACTTTTTTGGATCCGATCGAACGGTCCGATGCCTGCCTTTATTACCTAATTTAACACAAACCCTATAAAAAAAATTTCTAGAGTTAGGCTAGATCCTAAACTTAACATGAGAACTCGGCTTTTTTGAACTTTATTATATCACCCTAGCCTACATCTTCCCCCTCCCCCGCCTCATATGCATGTAAGAGATTTGCAAATTCCGGTCCTAACGTGCTTCGGACCTGGCCAGGTCTATATTTTAAGGGTTTGGGCATAAATATTTTATTTTCATGGAATATATTGATATATTTTAAAATTCTTGCAAGGAATAAGACGTTAACATCTTTTTATTTTTATAATAATTTTTTTACAATTAAATTTTTCTATATTTAGATAAATTCAGACCGGGCCGATAAATAATTTTTATTTCGGGTAGGGTCTTTCAGGAACAAATAGAAAAAAAACTGATCAGGTCGGGCTTAAAAAAGAGGCTCGATATAGATCACTAGTATATATTATATCTCTTAATTTGTTAATTTTTGCATCGCTGGTTTAAAAAAAAAATTATATTTGTTGGTATATTTATATTATTACCAAAATAAAACTTCATTTATTGTAAATAATATAATAAAAAAAAATATCTACACACATAAAATCATTACATCAAATATTATATACCTTGTATGTAATTTGTAAACAAAACAAAAAAGATAGGAAGGATCAAATCGTTTTGACCTTTTTTTTTTCTTCTTTCCTTTTTTTTTCAAACGTAAAATAAAATTTTTTATATTATTTTATTGTCATTTTAAAATGTCATGTCATTTCACAATATTCAATCCTAAAAGTTAAATAATTCTTTTTTTTATTATTGTCCCTACCCCGTTTTTATTATTATTTTTTGTTTTTCATTGGCGCAATCTTTCAATAATAATTTATTTTATATTAACCTTCTTTTTTTTTATGTGAAAGAAATGAAAAGTGTATATGAAGATTGTATATTTCTTTTTAATATTATATTACTTAACCTTTTTATCTTGACCTCTTGTCACAATCCTATTAAAGATTCTTATTAACTATAGGGGAGAGACGGACCAGGGCTATTTGGTGTCTTTTGATCAAAATTATAATAGGTCAGAAAATATTTTCGTAATTGGAATTTACAAAGAAGTTAACTCAAACCCTAACTTATAATTTTATAAACTGACAATTTTTTCCTCAAAATTAATTCTAGTAAAATTGAATTTTTGAATTAACTAACCCAATTTTGGGCTTTTCGAATAAAAGTGGCTATTAATGTCTCCTATAAGATTAATTAATTTTTATTTTCATATTTTGATGCACAATTTTTATGGTTTGTTTAATTAATATAAAATTTATTTTAATTTAAAATATATAGTTTCGGTTGAGTATTATATTATTGTTCTATATCACATTTATACAGAATTTATTTTTCCGATAAATATACATATTCTTACATATCACCATTAAAAATATTAAACAAATATAATTTAGAGTAATCCATTATTTTTAGCATTATTATAGTGTGATCTCCTTTCTAATATAAGAAATGTATTATTTTTTAAATGCTCTATTGAAAAATTATATAAAAAACAGGGATTTAGAATAATACTATCACTATATATAAAATTTTTGAACGCTAATTTCATATAATATAAATATACCATGCATGATATATAATATCTTATAAATAACTAGCTCTGATTCTATTAATTCTTGACTTACTAATATTACTATTCAATGCCTTCTAAAAAATATATTTTAAGCATAATTTTTTATTATGAAACTTTCCCCAATACTAAAGGAAGATTTTCAATTTATCATCTTAAAACAACTTAATATCGCGATGCTAAAATATTTTTCATTTTTTGCATCAAAATATACATTTCCTATAGAGTGCTATTCTTAAGTTAAATTTTAACTTCGAAACATTTACTATTTTTAAAATAAAATTCGCTTAAATGACAAGCCCAATGCGTCGACTAGCCCTTATTTGCCTTATACTATCTATTGATAGCATTTGACCACAACCTAATGCTCGAATGGTTAGGAGGGGTTACATTTTGCTAATTTGTAATCATATATAATGATTTAAATCAAAACAATATGGAAATTATTTTACTTTTTTTTTATATTTGCAGCCAAGCACGAGCGAAAGATACAGAATATCCTCTAGACGGACTCGAAGAAATTCTAACGTCGATCAAGGACCCGAACTTCTCCCTGATTACAATATAAATTCCGTTCCACAGACATCAATGTCATCCACGTATCGACCTCTCAACCCAAATATTCATATGCCATCAGCGCACGCTCATAGCATTACATCTCTAACTAGCACAATACTCGATCCTAATGCCTTGCCCTCCATTGACTCGCGTAGGATCACCTTAAATCCCATGGAAGACAGGGTTATAAATCCACTTAACCTCGCTAAAATGGGGAATATTTCCTCATCGTTATTCGCCGATCAAATTGACAACAAGGTCAATAAAGCGTCCTTCCACTACCATATATCATTGCCTTGCACTTTTTCTCAATCGGGCGGAAACGTGGGAGGTTCGATAGATTCTTTTGTAGAAAAATTGGTGCAATCCCAACATTTGATGACCAACGCTAAAAGCGAGGCTAGCCGTTTATCACCTCTCATGATGGAAAACGGAAATGGTATAGGTATTGGCTCGAACAACGGGAGTCCAAACGGACCACACTCCAACGGCGGGGGCAACAAAAGAAAAGCCTCTAAACCCATGAAAAGGATACTCCTCAATTCAGACTCAGCTGAACCCGACCATGCCATTTCCCCCTTGTCTGACGCTAGTACAAGTTTGACCCTCTCTTATAATTCCACCAATTCATCCATTTCTAATTCTAGCCTAACAATTAGTCTTTCATCTCCAGTATCACCCTCGTGTGATCTTCTCGTCAAAAGAAGCGAAAATTGTTCCGCTAAAGTTTCGTCTCACAGCAGCTCTTCTAAAAAACTTAACATCGACGGATTTATTCCAGATGATATCATAACGACTTTACCTCATTCCACTACCGCAACTAAGACCTCCGCCGTGATAAAATACATCTCGAGTGCTGGTTTAGTCACATCCCTATCCGAATCAAACGCGGTTATATTGCGCAATCCTAACCTCTCCGTCTGCCCTGATAAAATTGATGTAAAAGTGCTGCCAATGAAATCGAGTGTTATCAAGTCCAATTATTCATTCTCCTCTCAGCATTCTCTCGATTCCCCCCCAGTCACTATTACCGTCGATAATTTGATTAAATCAAAGGATATTTCTGAATCCCAGTTAGACGATTGCGAAATCCTTTCCATATCATCTTCCAAATCCGGAAATAAACTTATTATCGAAGAGGAAGACGAAAAAGAAGAAACAACTGTTTTACGAATAGTTGAACTGAACGATAATCAAGCGCCCACCGTTAAACCCCTAATTATTTCTCAAAAAGATCTCCGAATCATCTCCTCCCCTAAAACCGTGAAACCTAATAAATTTTTCGTTTCGCGCAGCCAAAATCATGATCGTGATGATAAAACTCCTTCTCATCCCCGCGTTATCGTTAAAGGGGTCCGTAAAAAAAATTCTTCTTCCAAAAAGGAGAAAAAAATACATCACCACCACACCAAATCTAAAAATCCTAAACAACCCCAGATCGCCCATTCCGATATTATCGTGCATACCTGTGATCTCCTTAAGCAAGACAAAATTGGTCACTCGGAGAAACTTTTAACCGCTACAACCAGCTCGATTATAACAACAACACCCATGAAACCACTTTCTCCAGTCTCGAATTTTCAATCGATGCCATCACCGCTGGTATCCCAGCCCAGAAATACCTTCCCCATTATGTATCATCCCAAATGCATGCCTTTTCACACCTTCTACGACACTCACAAACGAATCATCGATAAGCTCATGATAACAGACGTCATGGGAACCGATTATCCCGTCACTATATTGGAGTGCACGTCCGATAATCCGAAGGACTTTTTCGTTCAATGATTATTCGATAATTTGTACAAAATAATAAACCCAATCTCATAGTGCATTATATTTATAATTAGAAATTTTTTTTATTATTATTATAAAAAAAACATGAAATCTTGTCAAATTTAAACCTTATTTATATAGAGGATATAAAAAAAATTTGAAATATAAAATTTGATTATTATAAAAATAGATAATACATGTTATTCCGTGGGTTTTTTTTCTTAAAATATATATATTATTATATTAATAAAATTTAATTATTTATATTTTATTTATGAATATATTTTATTATAGAATCAAATATTCGCAAAAAAATAAATAATCAATAATAATTATAAAAATTTTATTAATGGGAACCTTAATTAATTTTAATATCAAAATCAAATCACATATTATAAAACCAGCGATTTATTACAATTACAACATTTTTATAATATGATTTAATTCTAAATAAAATAGTTAACTAATGTTATAATTTTGGATAATATCGAAATTTGAGTTTTTTAGTCAAGTCATTTGGTTATAATGTCTGTCAGAAATTAAGATTGAATTTTTTAAATCATAAAAAAAGTGTATATTGATTTCTTTTAGCCAAGTTTAAGGAGATTTTTCGTTCGAATATGAAATTTCTTACTTTTCGCGTCCATCAAAATAATTTAAAGTTTTTTGGACAAATCATTTGGTAATCATGTCTCCCAAAAATTAAGATTGGCTTTTTTTAAGTATAAAAAGGTCCATTTTATGGATTTAGTTTGAGCGTGTTTGAAAATTTTTTTCTCTCGAATATGATATTGCTCATTTATTGAGTTAGCTATTTACTCTCTATACGCCACTTTACTATTACAGAATTTTGATATTTGGATCAATTCTCATAATATATAATTCAATTAAATTATAACAAGGAAAAGAAGTTAAAAATTATAATATTATATAATACATTTGAGTTATAATAATATCTTGATAGCCTAGAAACATAATTGAATAATTGTTTATATTGTTTAATAAAATAGTATATTATATATAATATTTCTAACTTCAAACTACTCAAAAAACTATCCAAAACATTTCTAGATTTTATAAGTAAATATAAATACCTTTTTCTATTGTCAATATTTGAACTTCTTGTGGTCTTTGTAAACAAAATAAATGGCTGTCATCTGGATAACACTATAAGAATCTTTATTTTAATAAAGAACAATTGCAATGCATATGAAATTAATTTCTGTAGGAATTTTTTTATAAAGAAATTAAGGATATTCTGATTGAATTTTGGCCAAATATTGAATTAGAAACTAGAAATGTAAAGAGTAAGATGTTTTTTAAGCGAAAAAAGAGGCACGATATTCCAACATCCTCTACTACCAGTAATAAATTTTGGCCTGACCCAGGAAATTTCCTACTGAATTATCTCGCTGATGGTCTAGAGGAAATGACTTGTTAGAACCATATAAATACTAATTCTCCTTGCGATATTGATCGTTATCGGATGAAGGTATAGTATTGATAATTGGGAATTCATGAAACCATTCTTTGTTTTGGCGCGGAAACCCATTATCATACTGGTTTTAATAGGAATGGCGAATTTGGTGTATAGCTTTATTTTTGATTCTGGAAGGATTTAATTTCGCCAAGATATGGAAGAATATCCATTTAAATTAAAAGTTTTCAAATGGATACATAATTTGAGTGTATTTTTGTGAGATCAAATTTTGTATAAAACACTAAATATATAAGGGAACAGGATGCACCAATTTTCTCCTCGATGAGAAAATATAATGAGCAACCTTCGAAACAAACTAAAAATATTTCAAAAAAAGAAAATTCCATTGATAATATTATAATAAATTTAGGGAAGACCGGGGTAAAACGATTTGCATTTTGACCATAAAATTTTAAAACAAAAACAAAACAGAACAAATTATAGATTTATATGAAAACAAATCCCTCTACAAAATAAAAAAAAGTGTAGCTCTCTATTATAGTAATTTAGGAGCTATCATTAATTATGTGAAGTGTGCCACCCAGGGTAAAGTAGCTAAGAATCGGGGTAACGTGGTTAAAATAAAATTGAACAAAATATTGCAATTACATCCATTTATCATTTTTAGTATAAACGAATTAATACATTACCTGAATATAAAAAATTATATCAAAAATATTACATATTAAGTGAATTTTAGGCACATCATGCATTTCAATTATTCTTCTTTACGACTATTCTTAAAATTTCATTCAAAATAACACAAAATATTATTTAATGTTCCCTCTTGCTCAAAATTATTTTTTTATATAGTGTAAACTTTTATATTTAAAAATTATCTTTTTACAGCTTAAATTATACTGAAGACTTTAATCTTTTTATTCATAGCTTCCCCAGGCGATATATATTGTACAAGTTATTGCGTGATTTCTAGTTGAGCTATAAGCTTATAAATTTTATCTTATAGCTATGGCTTTAAGGGATGCAAATTTCTAAATTCCGAGTCTATATATTTTGCTAAAAGCAAAATAAAATAGAGGGTGAATTTTGTAATTTCTAGGTGAAAAATGGTTTTTCAACAATATATATCAAACCAGAAAATTTTTTCAAAAGATGAACATAGGTAAGAAATTAGATATATAAATACTAGAGATCTGCAAAGTTAGGCCCAGCCCGTACCCGGCCCGAGCCCAGCCCATTTAAAATATACGGGATCGGGCCGGGCCTAATATTTTTAAAAAAATTTTGGGCCGGATCGGGTCGGACCTTGGAAATTTTTTAAAATATATCTAAATTTATCAATTTTATATTGAATTTTTTATGTAAAATAAAAAATTTTGATTTAATTTATAGAAACTAAACGCTATATAACATATGTCTTTTTTTTTAAGTAATTATAAAAATTAATTTCTATATTTAAATAAATTCGGGCCTGGCCGGGCTGATAAATTATTTTTAAATAAATTTCGGGTTCGGGCTGGGCCGGTAAAACTTTTTAAAAAAAATTCGGGCCGGGCTTGAAAAATTAGGCCCTATGCAGATCACTAATAAATACATCTTCACACAATATTTAAGGTCTTTATGCTCAAGGGTTAAGAAGAAGTTATTTGCGTTGCATTGTTACCCCGTCATTCGCTTTACCCCGATCTCCCCCAATATAAATTCCTCAAAGATTTATGAAGTATTTTTTAAATTTTGACTTTCTAAGTAGTGATACAAAATCGCTCCATTTAAGCCGATTTTTAAAAACGGTTAACTCATTATTTTAGTCAGAAAAATATTGCCTAAGCCTCGAGTTAATTGCTAATGAATGTCCAAACCTTTATCTTCAGACATGTGTAATATTTTTCTGGATAAAATTCTGAGTGAGCCTTTTTAAAAATCGGCTCAAATGGAGCAAATTTACATCACTATTTCTAAATATTATAGTATTTTGATTAATATTCGAATAATGATTGCTCAAACCGCATTATATAAATAGTTTATTTTTTGAAAATATCTCACAAACTTTTCGAAAATTTGATATCTCTAATAAAATCGACAATAATAGAATAACTAGGCGTTTTCTGTAACAAATTTTCATAAAAGTGTAAATTTTAAAATCAAACTTAACCCATATCTAATATATCCACTAGCAGTAGCATATATCAAGACTTGAAATAAATGTGAATTCATTTTATATGAAAAGTTTTTCAATATGTGGCTAATTACAGATGCCTCTTATAAATTTTTATAAAAATCTGATCATACCGTAATATTTACCTTATTAGTTCCAAACCATTTCCCATATTTTTAAACCATTTTAGTATATTTATTTTTTTTCCCATGTAAAATTTACAAAAAAAATATACAAAATTTTATGACGAAATTGTCAAAAATTCATAGAGTGACTGGGGAAGATTGGGTAATTGAACCTTTCATTGATCCCATTTTTTAATTTAAGACACTAGAATATTCGAATTCTGCCGTGATATAATAGTTGTGTGCATCTAATTTTGAAATAATTAAGTATATTAACAATTATACAAGATATAAAAAAAAGTTATGATATAATTTATATCAAATTTAGAAAATATTAACAATTTTACTTTTATAGTAAAATTTGAACTCTCTTTTATAATTTGAAAAATTTCAAGAGAAGTTTATGGTGCCTAAAGATAATTTTAATCTTGAATAGTAAAACTAATGGGGGCTTGCGAAACTAGGGGACTTTGAATAACGTATTTATCATTATAAGGTATTTTTGTAATTTATATTTCATCCTTGATCATTTTGTGGATTAATCAAATTTCGCAAGGTCTTATAAAAAAAATGCAAAGAACCAAGTATTTTATATATATACTAATATATTTGTCAATCCTGAGAAATGAAAATAAACTTTTATCTTATAAGGCAGGAAACCAAGTGGTTTAGGAAGCCCCATAAGGTGATTTATGCAGCTTGTATGGCAAATTCAATAATTTTAGAATCTCCCGGATAGAGCAATACAATAAGAGCGTGATTACGATTTTTTGAGAACGGCTGATTCAACAAAAATGCAAATTAACATTAAAACATTTTTTATAAAAATATTTGATTTGAATTTTTTAGCTCATATTTTTGTCTTGGTATGATGTGTATATAATATCTCATATTTTTAATAATGCAATTAAATGTTCAACAGCTGATATTACAGATAGTATTTTTTTATTTAGCCCAACTCATTAAAAAATTAATAAAACCCCGATTTTCATTGGCTTTTAAAAATAGTATATATCCAACAGAAATAGTAGGGAAAAGGGATTATTCTTGCCTAATTATAATTCAATTGAATTATTGTTCCATTTATTTCAACGTATTAAATATTACAATAGTTCATTTACATTTATATTTCGATTAATTTCTTAATTTTAAAGCGTTCTAATTTAGTGGCTAAATTATTTTTATATCTAGTGGTTATCGTGTATCTTTATATAACAAAAATATTCCTTATTCTTCCTAGAAAATTGTAAAACCTTCGAAGGAATAGTCACGGTTACCAAAATGATATTAACTACATCTATGAATATAAACCCAGCTGACCAGGCAAACCCGGGCCGAAAGTTTACGGAGGTGTATTGGGGGAGGGAAAAGTCTCCCACAAAAGTGTGTGGAGGGGGGCTAAATATATTTGTTTTACTAGAGAAAAAAGTTCGCGTCAGCGTTGTATATAATTGTAAACAAAACACACCTTTATCCACCAAAATAATTTACTTTAAAAAAATTAAGAATTTGAAATACTCTTCAAAACAAAAATATCAATCTCTGAATATTTTTTGAGAATGCTCTAACAAGTTTTTTGATACCAATTTTACTTAAAATTCAAAATCTTTAAAAAAATTAAGGGAAAAAAAATTTCCGAAAAAACGTTGAGAAAACGTGTCCCGGTTCGTCTT